AGGTTGAACGCGGTAGGTTCATAACAACGCGGGGATCTGCATTTGAAGCTGTCATTAATTACATTATCTTCCAATCTGGTGTATCATGTGGTTACCTACTTCTGGCCGTAAACAAGCTATGTAATTTCACACTACTCTGTATTGTATGCCAGTTTATCCAAAACTGCATCGGAATCGGAACTCTAGCAGTAATAAGCTAAGGCTCGAGCTAGCAGGTGGATGTTCAGCGCGCTGCCAGAAACTTCCATTTTCGCATTTTGTCAGTAGAATTTTGCTTGTTGCGGCTACAAAATGACCATAAACTATACATTTGTGTTATATTTCAATTGAAAGACTAATAAATAAATAATCACCTAACCTCCATGTTTTCTACATTTTTGTTCAAAACGTTAAACGCCCTCTTATGATGGTGCAGGTCACACAATGTGCAGTCCCTCTCTTGCTGATCCACCATCCCATATCATAGCGATTCCTGAAATACGGAACGCTTCCTATATCTGCGTCGTGAAAGCAAGAAACTCCTCATCTACATTATCTAATAGTTTCTCGGTTCTACTATTGTTGGACCTCTGAACAAATTAAAGACTTCTGCCATGACGTGCATACGAACTTACTAAAGCGCGCGACTAATCGCTCGAATGCACTCGCATCCAACATTTTCATATGAAGTACATTAACTCCACTGCCGTTTTAGCATGGGTCCGCGTATGGATTCATAGGCGACGAAGAGGAGTACTTGGTGAAGGAAGACCCTTGCGAGCTAAATTTTGTCAAACGTAGAGGTAATGGTTTTCAACTGCCTAAGTTGTATCTCCATGAAGATCACTTCTAACAATAAGATGTAGACTGCCGGCCTGATGGGAGAGGCATTGGAGGATATGTTTCATGATTTACTCCCGTGGCGTTCTGAAAAGTTGCATCTAGGCGAAGTCAGAAAGATTACGCGTTGGATAGTCCAAAAATGGGAAGGTGCCGGTCACAGATAATATTTTGAAGTCTTGAAAGAGGAAGGGGCTGACATGCCTGACACGACCGGATTCACCTGCAGCTTTCAGTGGGTAGGTCGAAACGTAAAGAACTGATGACCGCTAATGCTTCAAACTGTGTGAGGAAGAACAACGCAATCCTGTTCGAGTAAACGCATTTGATATGCAATAGCAAAACACAAACAGTCTGATCCGAACACGAAGAGCGTGGAAGGGTTCATTTGAAAATGTCAGCGACGGTAGAATGTGTCGAAGAAAGAAAGGAAGAGTCTGCTGAGCCTGAACAAGAGGAAGATGTCATAGAAGTGAGTTATTGGTTTCTTCAGCACTTACTAGAACATAGCTGACCTTTTTTCAGGTCGACAGAGACACATTAAGCTTGGATCTAACCCGTACCCGCCTCAAAAAAATTGAAGGTTTCGAATTCCTCACAAAGGTAAGCTAGGAGCAAGTCAACTATTGAAAATATTATACGTCTACGCAGTGAAGACCAGAAGTATTTGGTCATTAATCTGACCAGGAGGTAACGTAATTCACGAAAATTCAAGTTGTCTGAGGGCCGACTCGGTCCTTGGCTTGGCGTATCCTCGCCAAGAAGTAAATTGATAACGGTGGGCCAGGCATTTGCAAAGGGCACTCGTAGTGAGTTGGGAGTAGGTGCGCTCATATCTGAGGAAGCCCTCGCCTGTTGTTTCCAGATCAAAACGCTATGTCTCAGATGGAACTTGCTGAAAACTATTGAGGGACTGCATACTCTCACAACGTTGACTGAATTGGATCTCTACGATAATCAGGTTTGGAGCTGGATGTTGGGGCTAAGACTGGTTCTGAGCTAATCAAGCTTTTAGATAGAGAAAATAGAAAACCTCTCCACACTAGTGAATCTCGAAACACTCGACCTTTCCTTCAATCGACTCAACAAAATTGAAAACCTGGAGAACCTCGTCAATCTGAAAACGCTCTACCTGGTACACAACAAAATCACCAAAATCGAAGGTCTAGAGACGGTAGCTATTCAACTGTTGGAAATCATGCTGTCTTTGTCATTTGATAACCGGAGTGATTCAGTTAGTCAACTTGGAATATCTGGAGCTGGGAGACAATAGGATCAAACGAATTGAGAACCTTGATGCGAATGTCAACATTGTTCGCTTGTTTCTTGGAGCAAATCAGATTCGAAAAATTGAGAATCTCGAGCACTTGAAGAAAATCGAAGTGTTAAGCCTACCCGCTAACGCTATCACAGTAGTAGAGGTTGGTTTGTGAAAGTCACTTCCACTCAACTAACAAAAGCAATCTTAGGTATTTGGCCTTGCTATCAGTCTCAAGAATTAGTTGCTTGGGATCTCATCGGCCTTCATCCTAGCGGCTTTCGGATTCTTACTACTACTTAAGGGTTCATATCTTGAGACCATACGTCGCCGGTCCTGAAATGGCGAACATATAAAAAACTTATAGCGAGAGTAGTGCATTTTCCATGACGGCAGTTGAGCAGTTGCAAGGGGCGTCGTTACACTCATGTCGCCCACAGTTAGATCTCATTCATGCCTTAGGCTTCTATTTCCAGAATTGGTTCATGGTTCTCAACCCAATATAGTGTGGGGAGGAGTTTGTACTATGAATTCCATATCGCCTTCTACCCAAAAAAAGAATAAAAACCATAGCTACTAGCAATTTTTCTTACCTGTTGCTGTAGATGAAACATATTTTCAGGGCGTCTCGACGTTGTCTACTCTTCGTGAAATCTACCTCGCTCAGAATGGAATCCAGTCCACTTCTGGATTAGAAAATCTGCAAAACCTGGAAATCCTCGACTTTAACTACAATCGTCTGCATAAAGTTGAAGGCATTCGACATTTCAAGAAGCTCACTGACTTTTGGGCAAAGCATAACAAGGCAAGTGTCAGAGGCTAGTGTCCTATTGGGTAGTACGGATCTCCTCCTCCAGTTCTCATGGTGTGATGGAATGGAATCAGAATGAGCTGGTACTCTTCGGGAATGGTGGATGTAACCGGGTGTTCTCGGGATTGGTAGAATGGCAGAGGGGAGTGTCGTCTTCAGCTGGGACCTTTCCCTGAAGCATTTGATGAGCTGTCTTGAAGCGCCTATGTTATAGGATTCTCATTGCTTAACAGCTTCCCGGAACTGCCACCACAATCAGCGAGAAACCCTCTCATTCAATCAGATAATGAGAAGGTCTTAAAGACTAGACCGGTTTTGGTAATTCCAGGGCGTTGTTAAGCTTTCACCAAACCCTTCTTGAAACTACATAGTTAGGATACACATTAGCTGGAAGGTCCGGACAATTTCTGTGCGTGATCTCTGATGTATTGCACGTTGTAGCTAGAAGACTGGCAGGTATTTGATGAATTGGTTGAGCTACCTCAGTTGAATCTCGTCTACCTGGAAAACAACCCATTTTCTGAGGCACAAGATTACAGGTACTGTGGAAGTAGACACAAATATGCTCCTCAGATGCTGGATAGGTTCCTTATTCAGGGCAAAAGCGATCAGACTGCTTCCGCAGATCACACGACTCGATTCGACTCAATGTCGCGATCCAGCCACGCTGAAGGCTCCCGTATTTGTGTGATACCGCTAATTACAGTATTTCTTTCAGTATATTTTCTGTCTATAAATTGATTCTGCATTTACCAATAAATGTTTTTGCGGTCCCGAGTTCCGATCTGCTTGTTCCTAACTTCTTTTTGCATCAAATAAGCGGGTCCATAGTGTGGACTGCTCTGTCAAAGAATTTTAGAGTAAGCCACGCAACCGAAATTAACCTGATTAGTATTTGAGACTAACGATGAATGTTTATCCTGAGATCCGGATTGTTCCTTCAATAGTGATGGGTAGAAAGTGAGGGCGGAGCTGGTGGAGTGCTAAATGGTGTATTGTCGCATGCATGGCGTAAACTTGCCATCCTTCCTGGTTTGGTTAGTTGATATCAGACTCAATGGAACGATATAAGCACCGACTTCTACATGGGCTCGCCACTGAAGGTTAGTGTATAGATCACACACGTATTCAAAACACCACTACGACTTTCAATGGAAGAAGAATCAAAGGTGCACCTCAGGGGAGAGATTGATGAACTCGAGGAAAGACCTAATCGAGTAAAAATAATCGGACAATTTGAAAGTTAGCAGACCTAATAGAGTCTACTGTGGTCTTATGGATCATCAAAGTGATGCCAACACTGACAACAGTCTTATGATCCATAAGAATACATCAGAGACTAAACTGATGATAATATGGTGCCTTTTCCTGAAACACTGGCCATATGGATGGTACGAAGAAGAATGGAGCTATTATACTTCTACCCATTCTAGCGGTCGATAACAGACCTCTGTACAACATCGGATCGTCTGGGGACAAACCTCATGAATAAGATTGATGAAATTTTGGAAGCGATTTGTTACTGGGGCAGGTTACGACGTTTGAATAATGCTCCTTCAGGGTTTCTCTTTGGGATAGAACACTCTCCAGCGTTAATGCATGGCATGACCGCGAGCGAAGCTTTTAGTTTGCTCTTTGAACTTTGACGCAGAGCTATAACAGCTACATGAGGCTACTGAAGAGCCTTCCACTAGAGTAAGTGGTACGACTGACGACATGTTTCTCCACGGTATACTGACCCAAACATGGTGTAGTTTTCAAGTTAGAGCAACCGGGAGTCTTCCGATAGGAATTTGCGATGTTCTGGTGACATGTAATTCATTTAAGTTTGCTGTCGATTAAAATTTGATGCATGACTGACTAGCGATGTGAGCGAACAAATTGAGATGACTTAGCAATAGATTTTCCGAACTGATTATGGCTAGCGAACAACCCGTACACGTCAAAGATAGGCATCAGTGGCCCTGACAGAACTTAGGCTTGCCTGTCTGATCAATTCCGATGAAGAAATTCCCGAGAAGGTGGCAGTGACTACTAAAACGAGCTACTCCCTGGATATTGTTGGCAATTCTGATTGTGCTACCTCCAAAAAATCCTTAGAGCAGTAGCAAAATACTGTACGAAACCACATTAAAAACCCTTGAACGTTGAGAAGTGGAAGAATTATTTTGAGCGTGTCCTTTCTATTGCTCCTCCTACAGAAAACGACATTACACCTCTTTGACCTCACATGTTTGAGACTTCCCTTTGTGAAGATTCCCTGATTCTTCTGAATTCCCTTTCCCTTNAATAAATCTTCTCTTCGAGTAAATGATCCATCACCCGCATACCGTAGCCTTCCCTGTCAATGAGAACGACAGAAAATTCCAGAGAATTGTCTACGTACTGCCCGGTAAGCACTTCCAGGTCAGTTTTTTCTGACACCTACAACCTCCTCTTCAAAACCAGCAATTCAAACTGCAAACTCAATCAGCCGTTTCAGTGCACCAACTGATAAGACCGATACTACCGTATACCTTCTACGTCTTTCAACTGATTTTTATACGATCTGCATGCAGTAATTTCAATCCAATATGAAAATTAAGATCACAGTTTGCATCCAGGCTTTCAAAATTGTTGCGAGATATAGATATGAAGGGCTTCTTCTCCTACTTCTTCCCCCTAGCTTTAATCCCGCGCCGTCGCACGGTCCGCTGTTCTTGTCAGCCGTATTCATTTCATTCTATCTTCGGCAACTTCTGCCGTCACCTTAGCTTCGGCGAGGTCCATCTTGATCACATCTCGCCATCTCTACTATAGACGCGAAGAGCAACGCTAGAAAACCTATTTCTTCTTCCAAGGTTCAAAACATTTCAATGCCCTTCTTTCTCAATTGGCTCTGGCTCAAACGAGGTTATCTACTATACGCCAGGACTCAAATAATCCAAATTTCAAGAACGAAATAATTAGGAAACGCGTTGGAAAAAGACCGAAGAAGTATCCATCATCGGTATGCCTCCAATCTGGAGCTGTGCAGTTGGAAGGATTCAACCAACACAACTTCACACACAAGCCAGGGTATTCAATTCTCCCAATTTCCGGCGAATTCCGTACCAAACCGTCTTGCCGAGCGACGACTCCAGTAAGATTCGATTCTTAGATCATACGTGAGGCAGCAACATTACCTACCGATATATCACCTCCCTCTCCAAATTCCAATAATTCATAGATCACCTTTTGGGACAGAACGACAAGAAGCTTTAAAAGCAGAAGTCGAAAGTACTTTCTTTAGAACTTTTTGGTTGTCATCGTGACTCGCTAGGATAGTAGGGTTGGTTAGTTTCCGATTATATCCATATGAATAATCAGTTTTCAATTATACACCACCGTTTTCAATCAGACACTTCACCGACCACGATTTCACATTTACAGACCACCGACAACCATTATTAGCTTCGCGCTATACATTCATAAATGATTGTACTTCACTGGGAAAAGGAAATGGCAAATTCAAATATTCAAATTACAGAGCAGAATTTTTTCGAAAATTCAAATAAGGCGAATAACGGTAACGTTGCACTATTATTCCTATTAACAACCCCAACTACAGTTTGGAAAAGGTGTACCGCTCTAATAAGGCCCCACACAGTTGCCAACACCTAAATAATGGTCATATTGAAAAGGTTTCCGTAGAAGCACGAAATGAAATGAGCACGCCATATAAGGTGATCTCGGAGGGAAAAACCAGGTGGTGGTAAATCAAGTGACTTTGGGGTCCCAGGCGTTTCGATATCACTCTGCCAGGAAAAAAAGAATTCGAACTAAACCAGGAACAGAGAGGAGCAGTTTCGTTACCGTTCCGCTACATCGTGTGGCATACTAAGGTTAACCAAAAATCGAAGTTTTAGTTTTTTGAAATTACTACTTTTATTTTCTTCACCAAGCACCCTTCTTTGTCATAACTCCTACCATCGAAAATTATTCCGTTCAGACCTTTCCAACCCTACGTACGGTTTACTGGAACCAAAATCGTCTGGAAGGATAGATACACTGAGCAACCGCGTATGCGTAGCCTCCATAAACCATTGACTGAATAGGTCACATAATGGATCCAACTCCCCTATAACCCTGAATAGAAATCGAACTAACAATTGTTTTGATCAGATGAATTTATCAGGGCGAATATTTCAGGGCAGAAGTACTTAGTTACCTAAGCCGATGTGAACAATAAAAAGGACGGAAGATCCGAAATTCTACTGCAAAGTAAGTATCCCATAAATTTCACCGGGCATGCAATATTTCGATCTTTGCTATCGGAAGGAATATATAACTAAACGGTATACCGTTTCGAAATCTACTACGCTCAACTAACTTACCTCAGCCAACCCAATTACCACGCAGGGTTCGAGTACCATGAATACTTTGTGCCTGGAGA